TCTCTCTCTCTCTCTCTCTCTCTCTCTCTCCGAAGAGTTTTGACGTGAGCACCACTGTTTTGTCTTAAACGTCTCTGAGAAAGTTATTTGCCTTTGTGTTTACTTACCAGTTCCCTGTTCCTCTACTCGCCAGATCTCCAGACCACTCCATGTTTTTGAGTCACACCCTCCATAAGACCTCATCAGCCTCCGAGCTCCCATCCTCAGCGTAACATTCCGACTGCTGCAAGGGAATTAATCCTATCGGCACAAGTCGTCCCAAGTCGCCTGCCCCTGCCATATTTGCCTCTCCACCCGCCAAACGTGGAGTCGAGCCGCTAAATCTGGGTGGCGCACTTGTAAACGATTTGGATGAAATGCCCCCCCACTCGGCCTGCCTGAAGAGAAGAGCATCGCTCGTCTCCAGGACTTGAGCTGTCCGCTGTCAAATGGGTATTATTGATCATGAGTTAATGAACGATGTGGAGAGAATGAAACAACGCCAAGTAATCACTATCCAACAACGACGGTGATAAATACCTTCGCCAGGTTCAGTCATCTTTGGTAAAGTAGGATTGTAATCTTTGCAGCTTCTGCCTCAGGTGAACAGACAACGATTGGATTAGCGTGTGAAGATGTTTACGTGTCCTCCAGACTTGGTCTGATTGTTAACACTGGAGTTTGAGAAATCTGACAGGGTACAGGCGGAAACACCGCGACGTTATGTGAATGGTGTTTAGAGAGTGTTGGTTTCAGCATTTCAGGTCGTACAAGTTCCAGTACTTTCAGGAATAGCTTTAAAAGCCTTAGGAGTCTCCTTTACTTTCTCTTCTTACCCAGTATTCTATAATACGTGGAAGTTCTATTTCTTTTCACTTGGTATTCAACGTGCCTACTAAGGGACCAAGAAATCTTTCAGTCGTGCAGTATAAGTAGACTTTGCTTTGTGTGTGTCGATTGCCATACAAAAGTGGAATTGTCTCTCCGAGATAAAGGACTTTGGGACTGATAAAGCGCTGATAAGATTCTGAGTCATTGCGTGCTTTCTTTCACACCTGAAGGTGTTCACTAGTGGGTCTAAGCTGCAACTGGCAAAATTAGTGCACAGATTGGATTCACTGTGCATTGCATTTTCGTATGAATCACTCCTGTGTTGTTTGTGGCATTTGTGTTTGGTTTTTGCCATGTTCCGCTTTTAAAGTCTTTGAATAAGGAAGTTGATGTGTAAAATACTTTGAGAACTTTGCTATTTCTCAACTTTGAAAAGCGGAATATATCATTGCTTCTTCTCAGAGGAGTATTTTCGGTCACATGAGGATTTTATTGCAATTGGATTTTGTATTGGTGAGGAATTTTCCGCGACTTGTTAGTTGCCATCGGAAAAGCGGTCAGGGTGTTCACGGAAACGTTCGTGTAGAAACCTTGTGGTCCATATCTCGAATGTGATTGGATGAGCAGTGAGATCAAACGACGAATCTCGTTCTCAGCCGACTCGGTTCTTACCGCTGTCGTCCAGGATGCAGACACTACAGAGCTAGTGCGCATACTTGATCACCATGGAGACGAGATTCGTGTCAACCAAGTCAACCACGTAGGTCTCACCGCGCTGCATCATGGCGTCCTTAGCAACAATCTGGACGCCGTCAAGCTGCTGCTATGCAACGGCGCCGACATCAACGCGCAGGACGTTCATGGCTTCTCTCCGCTGCACACCGCTGCGGCTTGCGGCTTCTTGCAGATCGCCAGCCTTCTCGTGCTCTACGGGGCCGACGTGTTCTCCCTCACGGCGCAGAAAGAGACGCCGCTGGACGTTGCCAAGGACATTGGCGTCATCAGGCTGCTAGCAGACGAAATGCGACGCCATATTCACCAAGAACTTTTCTTGACCTCCATCGTCCGCAGCAAGGCGTACGATACGTGGGTCTTGATGTGCCGTTGTGCAGTGCGGTGCGTGGACGAACTCTTACACGTCGTGATGCAGCTCTGGAGGCGCCATAGAACGAAAGAGAAAGTGAAGCTAGAAAGCAGCAAGACAGAGAATGGAAAGAAGGAAGAGTAGAATACAGGGATGGGAAAAGGAACAGAATGTTATGACAGAAAAATCCGATTAACAATGGCTAAACGAAATTAAGTAGCTTGGATATCTGATAGATATTTTGTTATCATATCGTTCGAGATGTGGAAATGGAAAGTATGCATAGTTTTACAGCTCTGAATTAGGGGAAGAAGCTAGTAGAATTCGGAGTTTTGAACGTTTGTCCTCCAGGGCTTACACTCACCCCCACCCCTTTTTTTATTTGGTGAAAGAAATAATAATAATACATGTATACTGAAGAAAAGCCCCGAATTTCGAAATGGCCCTTCGTGCCTTTTTATAATATCTCAAAATAAAAAGAAGACTAAAAGTTGCCCCATCTGTCTTTTTTCCTATTGCTGTGGAATAGTGTAGAATAGAGGAAAGATAGACAGCGCTTCGCAAGGATTGTAACACATAGAGGTGCTCTTGCTGCAACTGATTACTGCATTTTGTCAAAACTTTTATTTTTTCAACTTTCATAGGGCGGGGTGAAAAAGAGAAAAGGGTAGCATAGAAATTGCTGATTCTTTGTGGCACACTCATGATTTTTATAGTGTAGGTATGTGGAAAGGTGTGTACATGTGAGTGTGCTTCCTTGAGAGTGGTTGCAGGAGAAAAAATGAGGCGGG